GGAGGTAGCAGCAGCCAGGCTGGATCAAGGCAGGGGGAAGATCCGTAGCTGCCCCTCTGGGGCTTGACGGGGCAGGGCTGAGCGAGGGGCGATCTGGGTATCAGGCTCTTTGGGGGGCTGCGGGGTGTTTGTTGGGGTGACTGGGTGATTACTGGGGGCAGGGGGCTCTGAATGCCGGATGTTTATCTGGAGGAGAGGGAAGGCTGGGTGACAGCTGATATTGGGGCTCTGAGTTTCCCTAAAGTGTAGGGGACTCTGGATGGAAGGATTTCGGGAGGGAGGGGGGGGGGGTTAAATAACTGGCTGCCAGGATATTGATGGAAGGGTCTCATCTGGGCTGGGTTTGTAGATCTCCATTTGCAAAGGGCATTTTAATAAGGTTGAAGTAGGGGGCGACTGGTGAAGTGACCTCCCTGTCAGCATTCCCCAGAGGCGGAGGAGGTGGATTTTGAATGTGATTGTCACTTCATAGCTTTGTTACTAATGTGGGGAACTCCTGATAGGACTTGTAGCTTATTTAGCTAATCAATTAATTAAATCTGTACTAGGGCTCTAATGAAAACTTTCATTTGGTTACTTATGTACAGACCAATGTGCTCATTAAAAAAAACCCCACAAACTTGGTTTCAATAAATAGATTGGGCTACTAAATGTATGGCTAGTTTTTAAGAGACTCTGGATTATTAACGCAGTAGAAATCTGGCAATCCTAGGGCAGGTGGGAGAGAGAGCAAGAAACAAGAGTTCTGCAGGAAAGAAAAGCAAGCGCAGTCTGGCAGGAGGGAGCTGCCTGGGTCTCACTCTGCCACAGAACTATCCCTGGGTGCTTTTGGGAAACTTTCAGCCTCCCACATTCATCACCCAGCCTTGTATTGCAGCAGACTCAAGAAAAAGGATGCCCTGAGCATCCCCTTCCTGAACTAGGGCAGCTGGTAAGCATTGGGGGGAAGAGGTAGGAAGAGGAATTATTCCTGCCTTACAAAACAATGGTAGATGTTTGAATCCATGTGGTGGAGGGCTGGGATCCCACAAGGGGAGGATCCCCACAGAGCACCTTTGCATCCAGCGCACCTTGTGTTCTGTGCATGGCTGGGCCCTACACTACCTTATATGTACCCGTGCAAACTGCCTGGCACACTAGGCACTCATGAGACAGCCAGAGCTGGCCATGCATACTGCGGTCTTGCTGACCATGGACAGTGGTGTTGTGGGACTTGTGCGTCAGGCATGCCACTTTTGGCTTTTTGTGAGAAGTTGGCTAAATTGGGCAGCTTGAGGGCATCAGGGCACAGTGACCCATAGAGCAAAAGGGGCAGTAGTGGGCTCTGGGACTGTGTTCCACTGTGGGCTGGTACTTTTGGAGAGGCTGCATGGAGCGTCAGGAGGTGGGTGAGCAAGTAAATGAGGGGGTGGCTATAGAGATTTCAGGGTTGGTGACAGGGCTGAGGCTGCGTGTGGAAGGCAGAGGGTTAGGGGATGATGGCTTTGTGGGTCTCTGCAATATCCTAGGCTACAGGGTGGGAGAGAGAGAGGGAACCAACCCACTGACCAATTTCTGCTACAGCCAAGGGCTGGACTGTTGGGGAATGCTTGTGGGAAGCTACCTGTCAATAGGACTCCAGGAGAAATGGCTCCCTGGCTCTTCATAGATGAGTTTTTACAGACTGATCAAGAGAGAGCTCCCTAGCCTCACTGAATGGTGCCTTGTGTTGTCAATTGAATATTTCTAGGAGTTGAGAGGGAAAGTTGTGGACTGGAACCTTAAAACATTTGGGGTTTTTTGGACTGTGAAAGAGAAAGTGGAGAGGCTTTGTGTATTTGCATGAGCATGTCCAAAATGAAGAGAGAGAGAGAGAGAGAGGAGAGTGTGTGTGTGTGTGTGTGTGAGAGAGAGAGAGAGAGAGAGAGAGAGGGAGAGAGAAAGAGGGAGAGAGTAAAAGACTTTAATTAGGGCACAGAGTTGAGCAGGGAGAGATAGCTCTCCCAAATACTGTAATTATCAGGTTACTTAATCATTGAGCAGACATCCAAAAAGTGACAATCAATCCCACAGGCAGATATTATATTATTGTAAATTGTTTCCTTAGCATGAGGTTTATATGCATTTAAAACAAAGAATGATTTTGTCTTTTT